TCAATTTTTGGTTCATATTCCCCCATCACACCTGGAAAATAAGGAATATTTATATGAAATATCATTAGTTTTCCATACGCTGAGATTGTCACAGAAAAATTCTGTAGTTTGCTTTTTGAACCTACACAGTATCAAAGCTGGTAATAGATAGAAATTGCCTCATTTAATGCAATATGCTCTGCTTAGATCCTGTACCTGCTCTAAAATTTAGGTTTACCAGCAGCACAACAGCAAATTTAAGCAAATGATTTTATTTTCTCTGGCACAGGTTAATTGTTATGGTTTGAAAGATTCAAGTAGGCACTCAGTTTCAGAAGGATGAGATTTTTCATAGACCTAAACTTTGTTTACCAGTGCAGTGACAAGTACAACAGATAAATCAACTTATGTTCTACTGACAATCTTCTAGAATCAGCAAGAAACAGTCAAATTACGTAAAGGCACTCCTGTATACAGACACAAACACAGGCACACAGACATGCACAAACAGAGTTCAGTTATTTTATTTTTCAGTGACCCTTTTAATTTGGATTATTACTAATTAATCAAGACAACATGCTCAGTACTGTGAAATGCAACTATAACACCATTCAGAGATGTCAACAATATAAAATTGGACATCAACAGAGTTATCTGCAATTTGCTGTGGAGTGACTGATACTCTTGGAGAATTTCAAGAGTTTGCAACATGAGAAATGAGCAGTGAAGGGAGATTATATAAAGTGAGGAGAGAAGTTTGTATCTGATGTGACTTAAAGAGAGGAAATGTCATGGCAGGAGGAGAATGGCAGGATGGCAGGAAGAGATTGTGATTCTAACAGCTGTGTTCAATCAGATAGAAGATGGGTTTTTGGGGTAGGTGATACTTGGGAATTAAAAGTTATGTTAAACAAAGTAGGAATTTTTCAGATTTTTGGATGAGACAGATTGAAGCCAATGTAATTTGTGGATATAATGAGCATATATTAGCAGCAAGACAAGTCTAGTCTAAATCTATGAATATCATACAAGTCGCTCCAAAGAATTCTAGAGCAAGCAAACAGGAACAACAGAGAAAAAGAATGGAGAAAAAAAGAAGCAACTTATGCAAGGAAAAAAATGGAAAGAACCAAAAGGAGGAGCACGGAAGCGAAGAAATATAAGATCTGCAGGTGAGAGAAGACTAGTTGTGAACGATAGGCAGGAAAAACAACCCGCACATATATATTGCTCCAATGGTAAACCATACACTCCAGTTCCTTCACATTTGCCATATGGGACTTGGGCATTTTTGGTGGGACTGTGGTATATCACTGCTGCCTAGCAGTTCCCGGGCAGTCCCACGAGCTCCTATATTAGGTCTGGAAGGAAATTCTGTTTTGCGAAGGTTTGGACTTGTTGTCGCATCTGATAGTGTAAGACTAGAGTGAGGGGCTACAAAATGGTAGTTGAGAAAAGATTTTTTTGGAAATGGTAGTAAAAAAAAAACCCTAAAACTTAAAAACTTCAGTTATTTTCCCTGCAAAAAGTACTGTTAAACTTTCTTTGGGATGATTTCTCAAATCAGAATAGTGAAAATCAGAGAAAATCAGCAAGAATTACATTTGACTAGCAAACAACTAACTAGTTAAAGCAGTCATCCACTTTGTGGGAGATGAAGATTACCCCTTGTTTTAGCATTTGCTATCAAATTTGCTTTTTCTTTTCCCCAGTAAAGAATATTTTTTTTGATAAAGTAAAGTGGAAATAAACAAAACAAAAACAATGTCATATTTAGGCAGCATCAGGACAAACCTATAACCCCTATGTAAATACCCCTATTACAGGTCCCCCATCACCCTATTTTCTCTTCTTTGATCGACTCTCTCATCTTTTCAGAGAAAAAAAAGAAATATTCCTTCCAAATGAGAATGCAAATTCATGTTTAAATATATATTCATTTAAATATGTCTTTAGGAGCTTAAGTTAGTTAGAAAATCTAAATTGCCTGATTTATGAATCAAATAATTACAAAAGGAGAAAGCATAAAACTTCTAATACAGACAATGTAATTCCATAAATAATGTGTCTTCCTAAGTAACACTGAATTGCTTTTTTAAAGACATACTTGGGCAAGTGTTATAGATCGTAGCAATAGTGACCCATTTTTCTGCAAAATCATGACTAAATCAATGTTTTGACTGTTTTATGAGACCCTGCAGAAATACTGCCCTTTGTATTAAAAGCAAAATGAGTCTGGATCAGTTCTATCATTAAAGATTGAAAGGTACTTTTTGCAGGAAAAAAGGAAATTATCCATTGTGTCCTGAGTATTCAAAGAGGGCCAGGGCACCAACTGAATTTCTACCTAATTAAAATTTGCCTTAGCCTAGATTAAAATAATTCCTAGCCTAATCCGCAGTAAAAATGTCCACACTGACGCATACCGTGTCAATAAATTTCATAATTTAAATCAACACCTTGTGAAATAATATTCTTTCATTTACTTTATAACTTCTACTTGATGACTTCCTTTATTGTTTTCTGCTTTTTTGTGTGTGTGACTATGAATAGCAGGATCTGATTCATGTCAGTAAAATCACCCATCATTTCATAAGACACCTGTCATATCCCCTTTTGGTCGTCTCTTTTACAGACTGAAAAATCTTAGACTATTAATTCTTCCTAGCCCAGAAACTTTAATAAACTCAAGATTATTCTTAGTGCCTCTGTTGTATCTTTTCACATTCTATTATATCATTTTGAGATGGTAAGATGAGAACAGCATGGCAATGTTGAAGTTGTGGATCTTTCTAATGTAGATTTTTTGTTTGTGTTTTTGTTTATTTTTTCTCTTTTTTCTCTTTTACTTTTATCACAAGTCCACTCTACTTAGCTTTTTGCACTACTCATCAATGAGCTGATTTTCATCCACAATGATGCCATGATCTTTTAATGATTAGTAATACCTAATAAAGTTACTATATTTTTAGGTTTATGTATTACATAATTTGGTACTGGATGTCATTATTCATCACAACTCACTCTAGTATCATGACATCCTTTTGCGGCTCTTCACAGTTAGTTTTAACTGCCCTGAAAAGTTTTGTATCAACAAGCTTCACTACTTCAAAATTCATTTCCTTTCTGCATCATTTATAAGTTGAATAGTGAGATTCTAGGAAAATTTTCTGTTTCTTCAGTGCTAATGTCCCTTCATTCTGCAAACCGATCATGTACACCCATAAAAGGTTGAATTTTGTATCCATTGTTTATTCAGAATAAGACTGCACTTCATCCTCTTTGAGAATTTAAATTCTTTGCCAGCCTTTGATGAATGACCTTGTCCAGAGCCTTTTGAAATCAAAGTACCTTGTGCTACCTTGACCATCCTTTCTTGTATTAGCTCTGACTCTTCAGCAAAGTTGTACGTATCGAGACAGAGATATGATTCTTCTCTGTAAAAGCCATTTTAATAATATATAATCAAATGATTATATGGTAAGACTACTGTATGTTTGTGCGAAAAATATAGTCATACTTTTATTTGTATTTTCCATCAAAATACTTGATACAGAAGTCAGGCTTAATGGTCTGTTGCTCCTTGGATACTTCTAGAAATCTTTATTTTTTTTTTAAAGGGCATTGTGTTTCTACCTGCTATTCCTCCAAGGTCAGGCTAAAGGATATGGTACATATCCCAGTCCCTCTAGAATGGCTGTGTGAGTTTGGCCTTTGTGATGTGTTAGTATTTATAACATCAATATTTACTCTAAAATGTCTTCTATTAAAGGTGCAGTTATGGGAACTTCAGTACTGTTAGGGGAACCTCCCTAAGTTCCTCCGTAATGAACCCTGTTGATAATAATTCATTTAGATTTTTTGATGCAGCTTCCAATTCCTTAGATGTTTCTTCTAAACCTCAAACATATTTTGAGTGTGCTGACTATCTGACAGGTCTACTGATGTGATGAGTTTAAAAGTTTTTTATACTTTAGCATAGACTTTGTTACTGAAAATTGATTTTTTGAATTGTCATATACTATTAAATATTTGCTTTTTATAGCCCTGAAAAAATGTATCTCACAATATAATCAAATTATTCTTGCCTCTCAAATTGTACAGTGCTTTTGAACACATCTGAAAGACAAATTAATTTTTAAATCTTATATTTTTAACTTACATTAACTCCCATTAATAGATGCAATCTGTACAGATATCAAATGCTTGTTGCAAGTCAAGCTATCATTTTATATTCCTAATGAAATGCTGATCTGTAATGGTTTGCACCATGTCCTCTTCTTCTGGGTTATTGCTATATTAGCAAGTGACATGCCTGCGGCAACTGGCAGAAAGATGCAGAAAATTACTGAGCAATTGCCATGATACCAATGTTCCTTGTGAAAGAAATTAGGAAACAAAAGTCTATTATAGTAAAGGGACATTTTTCGTCTTTATTATTTATGATCTTGGAGACCAAGGCAGCCACTATATTTGCATAGGCAGCAAGGGAATTATCAAGGCCTTACCTCCCTGAGTCTTACTATAATTGCTTTGCCATGACTACTGTACCTCCAGGCTCTTTATCTTTCCCAGTTTCTGTTTTGGTCACTATGAGTCAGTAATAGCAAAATAACCATCATCTGTCTTTTCGTCAATAATTTTATTCATTTGCATCAGGTGTTAAAAGGAACCTGAACTTTTAAGAAATATCTAGGCCTTGGGCTGAGCACATTAGAATCAATCTCCCTCAAGATTATATATATGACTCTCTTTCAGACATTTGGTTAAAGCCATAAACAATTCCTTCAGTCATTTTTTATTTCCACTTATTAAACATGAAATATAAAGTTGATCGGCACAGAATAAAAATACAGTATAAGATTTTGAAATGGCTAAAAAAATCAGAGACATCATATGGTCTGATCATTGTAGTGGGACAGTGAGCTAATCTCAGGCTTCCATGCCTCATCTTTCCATGAAAACACCTTCCTTTTGACAATATTCTATCTCTATGCTTCACAGAGACAACTTCAGTGTTTCAGTCTTCCTTGAACTAATTAATTAGCTTGT